TCTGCTAGCAAAACACTGTCCTGCAGGCTCTGGCTTACTGATCGTTTCTTCGCTTCATCCAATTTTAATACCATAGAACCGTAAAAAAACGCAAAAGGTGGTGCAAAAGCTGAACTTGTGCAGAAAATCCTTCGAGTTTTGGTGGACAGGAATAGAGAGGCGTCATAACTGGTGCCTATGAGGCCACAGCACCTCCATTGCCTACTGTGAAGCCGCGAAAGTGGAATAATCCGGGGCTTGAGGGTCAGACTACTTGTACAAGGGAGGACGCCTACAATGTTGCTTGAGCGCGGGTACTGTATTCAATACGAACATCAAACAGTGTGTAACAGCTCTCAATCACCAGAATCGTCTATGATGCACCTGCACGGCATTGTGGTTTTCAATAGCGCGTGTTACTGCAGCTCAAGCAACTGACAAGTGACGCCTATCTGTGGGAATAGTTTAGTTGAAAAGCAGCTCGTAAACCAGTTAATCAGGGCTGAACCATCTCAGGCTTCGTGGAAAGACAGCCTCTCTTCTTCGGAAGAATGTGGTTCATCACATCCGAAGCCCGAGCAGTTTAGCATTCCTAGCCAGACGATTTGGTGAGCTGTAGCAATGCCACACAGGGCACATCATTGTTGGGGATTTTAGTCGAGTCTGTACGACCCCCCCCCACCTTTTTGGGGATTGGTATGACCCTCCCCCCTCTGGCCCTCTGTCCCTCCTCATCGAGTCGAGCCTTCTAGCGCACGGGGGGGGAAATAGCACATCAGTTGAAACAGGAGAACCGCGAGACAATACGCCCCCTTCTCTCAACTCTAAGATTTTCCCCACTTAATGCGATTGTTTTTCAAAAATTTCCCACGAAAACTTTCAGAATTTTGCTGTCGGGACGGGGGGGGGGGGTATATACGTAGTATGAACAGGAAGTCCCAAAACGTAAAACCTAAATACGTAGCCTCGCTCCTCCCAACATAAACGAGTACGACCCCCCCCGCTTTACAGGTTCCTTGGAACAACAATAATAACTATCCAAAATAAATTTTTCCCAGCCCAAATACGACCCCCTCTCCTGGCGGCCAAATACGACCCCCCCCCCTATTGGGGATTCTCCAACAACGATGTGCCCTGATGCCACAGGGAGCGAGCTTGGGTACTCTTTTGCTGGCATAGACGCGGTTGAGATGTACAGAGCTCCTCCCGTTGGAGGGGGCTGGGCATATGACGGCTCGCTGCCTGTTTCATTCCTTTTCCAGATTTTGTCACTTGCCCCTTTACAACATGCAGCAGCCCTCCGAAGTTGCGTTCAGAAGTATGACGTGGATGAAACTCTTCCCTTAATTAAATGCATTATATGTACATCTTGACTAAATACTCTAGACCGCGGGCGTGAGCACTGGGCGGGCTTCACAATATCCTAGGCCGGGCTATCCCGCATACCTGTACACAATAGAACTAGAGAAAATTTCTCCTGCACCAAACGCTCATCGCGATGCTGACTCAGATTCCCTTCTGATACTTCTCATTAAGGACTACCTCGCTTATCATCATAGTGGTCAAATCATCCCAGCTGTTTGGTTCAAGTACGAAGTGCAGCCGATCACAGTGAAGTACACGGAGACACGGATATCCTTCTACTATTTTATTACTTCAGTAAGTCCTTTAGCATTGATTACCTCTCAATCAAAGGTGAGAGGAAGTTAGTAAAAAAGCAGTGCAGTGAAAGTTTCCACGAGTATCAACTGTTGATAAAAACATGCATGTAGCCCCAACGTTTCGTACATTTAGTCATTCCTAGTGACACTCCATATCCCGTAGAAAGGGGAGGCGTGTCCAGGTATTTAGAAAAGACCGCGATGACGTGTGTGGGTCTGTGGTCAGTGGCCAGTTAGGGCTCAGAGGGAAGGGAGGAAAGATATATTGACATTTCTCTGTGCACTCTTCTCTTACACCTGCTGCCTACGTCTCTGCGGGTTCGGCACACGTCTAATGGCGCTCACGCTCACATCCGAGTCCGCAGACACGCCCTACCCATCT